AGAATCCCAAATCTAACAGAGATCTACAATGAGATAGCAACGCAACTATAGTGAAATGTAGCTGAGACTCCATCCCAACAGAAGAGTCACCTGCATGGATTTAAGAATATAAAGGTTTTTTTCTTATGCAGACATTTTACTTCATTAGTAAGAAAGCCACCAAACAAACAGAATTCAGAATCTAGATCAATAGAAGGGTATCAATGTCCCCTATAAATTTAGGAGAGAATTTGTGTGAGATAATCATATGAGAATTAGGTCTTTCTATGTGATAACAAACAAACAAAAAAGAAGATAAAAAATGGAAATGAACAGGTCCTTACAAAAAGAAAGCTGGGAGGAGATAGACAAGATTGAGAAGAAGAAGCTGACGATTAGAATTTGAGCAAACCAAACATCTTATATTATAAATATATTAAGTGTCCCATAACATGAGACTAGAAACCACATATATAAACTCAAGGCTCCATGCATGCCTAAAATGCATTAAGATTATTACGGAAAGAAACTAATGCGTCCTTGATATAGATCCCTAAGAACGAGTTGCTCGATGTCTCTGCTAGGGTTTACTCCCGTCGCGTCTTCATGGCGGCCCGAGTAGCACTTGTTACCTCTACTCCATATTAAAATTGCAGCATGCTCCTTAGTCGTGCTTCATCTGCTCGACTTCATCTGCTCCTTCGTCGTGCTTCGTTTGCTCGAGTCTGTCTGCTTCGAATTCGTCTGCATCAACTTCGCCTGCTTCAGTCCTCAACTTCGCGACTTTGTCTGCCTCGAAGACTTCAAGATTTTGTATTGTTTGACTTCGTCTGTCTCTTTCTGTGTTTCGTCTGCTTCAATTGTTCCCTTTCGTTGTCTGTGCTCGAAGAAGAAGGGGTTTTTTGTTGCCCTATTTTGTTGGCTTCAACTTTTGTCCTAAAGCCGCACCTTCGTGTTGGCCTTGGACCAGACGTATGCTATTGCACTTGCGGGTGATCACGCCTCAGTTACTCCTAAATTATGCTCTTTCACTCCTTCGTTTGAGTTGGCGGAGGACATCAAAAAACTTGGGAGGAAGAATGGGAAGCATGCTTTCTTTTTTATAGAAGCTAAATGTAATCAACTTGCTTCTTCCTGTCGTCTGAATTCGGTTGGAAAATTTTTTTACGTTCATCCCAAAATGGAACTTATTTGTAATGATTTTGAGCTATGCATCTTGTTGGGGAGTGGAAAATCGGACTTCTAGATGAAAGACACGTCCTTATTCAACTTAATAATAAAGAGGATTATACGCGCTTATTTGCTAGAAGAGTAATCTGTATTGATAACAGAACAATGAAGATCTTGAAATAGTCGGTGGATTTTGACCCACAGACGGAACCACCAATCATTCCGGTCTGGATTCGCCTCCCTGGCCTGAAATTTCACCTGGCCTGAAATTTCACTATTTCACTATTTTACTCAAAAAGTGTTGTACTCTATTGCCTCGGCCTATAATAAACTACTTAAAACGGACATTCCTACTTTTAATATTTCTCGTCCATTTGAAGCCAGAGTACTTGTTGAAAGAGACAGTACGTTAATCGCTTCTCAGGAATTTTGGTTAGGCACACAAAATCATCGATATTGGCAAAATGTTGTGATTGAGCATTTCCCTTCGTACTGTTCGAGATGTCGTATGTTCGACCACTCCAGTTCTCAATGATATCATCTACACCCTCATCTCAGATCAAAGAAGCAAAGTGCTCCGCCAGAGGAAGTGATGCCCCCCTCCTGATCTTTTCCAAGTTATTCATATTATTAATCATCAAAAGGATACCCCTGAAGATGCCACTATTCTCGCAGATAATATGTCAACCATTTAGCCTCCACACAATGCTCATGATGTAGATTCGGCGGTAGCTTCATCTTCCCTAGAACCTATCAGCGATGTAACGGGTGACAATATTTCTACTGTTTTGCTACCTCATCGGGTCAAACAAGATGTAAATGTTACTCAGACAAATGCGGTGCAACAACCTACACCTGTCCGACCATCTTTGGAATAATCCACTGATCAGATGAGCAATACTTGGATGATGAATGACAGATTTACATATCCAGGAGGAAGAAGAAAAATGAAAACCTACTTGAGCTCAAGAATCTAATGGATGATACGTTGTTACTTCGGATAATGGTACGCATCTCACCAATTTGTTAGCCACGCATCTCACCAATTTGTTAGCCGACTCCCTTCCAAGAGCTAGAGACAGAGGCAAGACTAAATTGGGTCGTCCCTAGCTTTTTGTGCGCTTTGATGGTTTGGTTTTTTTTTCTTGATCATATATGCACCTTTCCTTTTTTGTTTTGAAATTTTGTGTGAGTTGTATTGTGTGGGTTGGGTGCTTTCTTTTGGTCTCACTCATACAACATATCTGTATCTTTTACTCTTTAATATATTAGCCCTTGGGCTTTTATATATAGATTTTGTGTGTCGTACTCTTTAATAAGGACTTCAAAATTTTAGTTTGAGTTTAGACTAGTGCTAGTGGGGATTCGAGTGATGTGGGGAGGAGAGCGAGTTGTCACCTCCCAAAAGAGCTCTTCGGGGTGGTGGGCAGCCCAGGGCTTAAATATTATTTTTCGGCCCTACACCTAGCCGATATGGGACTTTTTGTCTGTGATATTCTCCTCTACTTAATCACGTGACGCCCTCGTCACAAATCGGCTCCACCGAGGGTCCCACCGAGGGTCCCACTGAACCATGGAACTGAACCATGGAGAGTCCACACACCTGGCAGACAGTAATCTGATCTGATACCACTTATCACCTCTCAAAAGAGCTCTTTGGGGTGGTGGACAGCCCAAGACTTAAATACTGTTTTTCAGCCCTACACTTAGCCGATGTGGGATTTTTTCTCCATAATAGAGTGCTATGAAGAGGGGAGTAAGCACTCAGATTACTAGGACGTAAGAAATAGATTTTTTGTTTTTATTCTTTATCATTTTTCTATTACTGTTTTTTTTCTTTTAACTGATTTTCTATAATTTTTCTTCTAGATAGATTTTTTTTTTTCTTTTTGATTAAAATTGAAGTTTTCATTTTGAACATTTATATTTTTTAATTTGTTTTGATTTTCTCTGAACTAGTTTTTTATTTTCTTTTAAATTTTTTATTTGATTTTAGCGCTTTTTTTAAATTTTCTCTTACTAGGATTTTTTATTTTTTTAAATTCTTTTTCTACCTTTTATTTCTTTTTAATTTTTTTAATTTCTTTTAATTATTTATGAATATTATTAATATATTTTTTTATTTTTAATTATATTGAATTCAATTTTCAATAATATAGTAAGTAAGAAAAAGAAATATTGTTTTTTAAAATTTTTTTGAAGAAGATGATTAGGCAAAACTGGAGATTGGATTATTACACATGATAATTTTTTAATATGCTGAATGTAAACGTGAGGACCATGCTATCTATATTTTATTTGAGTGCTTAAATTGAATCTTTTTTACTTGAGAATTAAAAATATTAAATTCAGATTTATAATTGAGTTTTTTTTTTTTTTTTTTTTTATAATGGGTTGATGTTCACTGATAATGCAATAAATTAGTTTATTATTTTTTTATGACGTATTAATAAATTACCAATATTTTTTTGAATATTCTTTCTAGTTTCAAGCCTACCCCTTGCTCCTCGCAAAATGACTGCGCTCCAGATTTTGCTTTCTTAACTTCTTATCCCATCTAAACAACTTATCTTTGGTGCATGTGCAATAATGTTAGCAACATCCTGTGGTATCACAAGATCAAAAAGGAAGAACGCAGACTTTATAGTTATAACCCTCCTTCCTATTGCTGTAACGTACTACCAAAGAAAGACTCAGATTAATCAACTACTTCTTTGAAATAGACACCTTTTTAATGCATGTTTTGGGCATAAATTAAAGTTGTGGTTAGATTTTTAAAACGCTAAAAACGTGAGAAGTATTACCAAGGAGGCTTAAATCTTCCGTTAGGTAATGGGTATATGTTGGCCTAAACAGATGGTCAACCAGTGCAAGCTCTATAAAATCGTTATATTAATTAGTACATGTTAATTGTTTTAGGAGACTTTCTTAAACATGCTTAGCTGTTAGATATCCTATTTCATAACTGATCTAGATATGAACACTTTGTACATCATGGAAAATCTTTTAAGCTTTTTTGAGTCAGTAGTATTGGATTTTTTTTATGATGAGATGTACTGCAATTTTTTGCTTGAGAACTTGGATAACCTATAACCTTAAATTGAATATTCACTTGGATCCACTAATCTAATAACATTTAACTCAAACTCCATGGAAAATTTTTTAAGCTTTTTTGAGTCATTTGCTTAGAGAAGTAGTGCACTGCAAAATGATCATGCATATACTTCCAACAGCAATATTATTTTTGCACTGATGGTTTTTTATAGCCTTAAAAATGGCGTAAAGTTATTCGATGGTGGGAAAAAAATATATTAAAAGGTTAAGTTCCATTGAAAAATATTTTCTAGAAGATGATTTCTTCGTACTAGTTTATAATATCATGGTTTGACAACTGAAGTTCCATCTTTGTTGTCCTAACAATGTCATAGTAATTGTTTGTGCATATTCGCGGACATTTAAGATTGTTCAATGGCACACAGGCATAATCTGTTTGTTTGAGTTTGATGATTCCTTAATATTATTCTATATTTTTCTTATATTATATGAACTTCATACTTTTCTTAAACATGGGGCTTATTTGGTTGCTTGTAGACGGAAAACATCTTTGATTGTGTAACTGAAACACTTTTTTTGAGGGAGTATTGAAGAGATTTGTGGAGTTTTAAATCATTCTTAACGTTCAATCATATCCAACAAAATGATGGATTTTAAAATCTTCTTTGTTTTTCCAAAATCATCCAATTTCAAGCAATTAAATGCGCCATTCTTGCATTCCTCTCAGAAGTCGTGTGTTTTTTATCGTCATTACTCGCCTGGTTTTTAACTTTAGTTCTGTTTGTTTCCTTAATCAGATTAATGCCAGCCCCTATAAAGATGGATGGATAATAAAAGTCCAGATAAGCGACTCAACTGAGCTGAAGTCCTTAATGGACTCTGAACAGTACACAAATTTCTGTGAAGAAGAAGATGCAAAACACTGAAGCAGCAATCATTTTGACTTTCATTTTCAAAATTGTTGCCCAGCATAGTTTAAATTTCACGTGAATCCAAGAAAGAACTCCTTGGAAGGATTCTGGATGGATGTTTGTTTGCTCATTGTGGTTTCATAGAGTTCTTTTGTCAAATTCTTCCCCCGGGGGTGTTCAATGCAAGCTTGCAGGCAGTACTTGTAAGAATTATTATTTGTTTTGGTCATTAAACTTTTTATCGTGATTTGTTGCACACGGAATCTTTGCATATGTTTCGGATGTTTTTTGAAGGGCATAATTTCTGCCAAACTTCAACTGCAAAAGAAGCTGACACCTCTTACTAATTTAATTTAGTTCTTTTCTGTTCCCTTTGATATTTTGTTGGCATTCCTATTACTAGGTGATATTTTGTTGTCATTCCTGATAAAGAAAAATTGTTTGAAAGTGGTAATTTCATTGATGATGCATCTCTACCTTTTATAAAGTCTACAACAGTATCTCATAGTTATAATAATCAACCTATTCTTCTACTTGAAATGGTTCTAGCCTTGTGGCTACTCCATCATAGTTGTTTTGCACTCCTGATCAAATGGACCGCTTCCCTAGCTGAAGAAATTATTGCATCAGGACACTTGATGCAAATTTGCATCGGGTGTCCAGTAACAAGGGGCCACATGGCAATTTGGACCCAGTGACATATACGGTTCGGGCTTAGGTTACCACGAGGCACCTTGTTATTGGACACCTAACGTTGACTGGGAGAACATTGCTGCCTCATTTGAGAATCTGGTAAGAGTTTTGTTAGGTTGTTCTGAATGCCGCCGACTTAAAAATGTATGTTTGGAGACAAAGCGTCTTAGGAACGTCTCAACATTTTATTGCAAGAATCGTTAATTTTTGTCATTTCAGAATGAAGATGATGAGACAACAAGATCATTGGATCAAAATATCATACAAGCGTTTATGCATGATGAAAGCTAACAAGAGAAAAAAGTTAAAACGACCGAGCATGGAACAATCGTGTCATTTGTCATGATGAAAGCAAGCAGAGAAATGATGGTTCAAAGATCATGTCTGTAAAAAGAATTGGACAACACCACCTGACTCCACAAATATTGCATGCAATAAATAATTTAGAATATGCAAGCCTTACTTGGAAATACATTTGTAAAATTAGTTTGGCTTACACCTATAGAAACTTGCATTTTGTTTTCAGGAAACAAATGAAATGCATTTATTCTCTTCTATTCATGTTCTCGGAGTTTGTATCTACCTAAAAGGTTGTTTCTTGGGATCTTATAAGCCAAAAACATATCACTCTTGTTGTTTAGTTTTCTACTTTCTCAATTGAGATCCTGAAGGACTTAGCATCATCATACTCTCAACCAATTTAAGTCCATAGATACAAAAGTACAATGGGCACTTTTAATAATCTGTTAGGACTTGGTGCAACGGAGCTCGTGAATCTCATGACATTGTCCAATATCAAAGTTTTTTTTTGATAAATTACATTGTCCAATAGAAAGACCTTTTAATAAATTTGAAAGACTTGGATGATGATTGTTTTCTCACATGCACCAAAGCAAGAGATCTTCATTTAGTTGACATTAATTTGCATTCGAAATATCTACCTAGTGAAGGCTATTTAACATTTTATCAATATTTTTAAGGGATTGTTTGGGATTAGGTTCGTTTTTTTATCTTTTTTTGTTTCTTATTTTTATATTGTTTGTTCATATTTGATTTGAAGCTAAATTTGCTTCACTATTTGATTAAAGTATAGTTGTTTTAAAAAACGCTTGAAGCATGTAAATATTATTTCGAATGTTTGCAAAAACATGTAAATTCAAACATGTTTTTAAAAATAAATAAATAACAATAAAAAATATAATTGATACCAAACAAACCCTAAGCATGTCAAGGTTAACTTGTGTGATCCATGAAATGACTAACTCTGATCCCTAAATTGACAAGTTAGAACTCATTTTGGGTAGGCCATAAAAAAAAAAAAAAAAACTTTTTAGAATTTTATGTAGCCTGTTCCACTTCTAAAGGTGTTGAATTACATTATTGTTGAATGGTCATAATTCTCCCCTTCATTTCCTTTGTACACTATTTGGTGATCTCAATATAGAAAAAATTATAATAAGCTTAACTAATGATTGAAACACATCAATTATCTTTTAAAAAGCCAAATCATATAAAATTGTGTTCAAATTCTGAGGAAAGCACCATGAATATAGTGAATAAATATTTCATTGTGGTACAACTATAGTAGCCTTCATTATCCACGAAACATCATGTCTCATTGAACCTTGTTGCCATTTAGAATACATATATTAATTTAGGTTTCTTGCTCCACTTGAGATTTTTTTTTATAAAGAGAACAAAAATATTGTACCCATTTTAAGTAATCAATAAAAAGAGATGTAGTTACAAGGGTACACATTATCACCTGAACAAAAAATTTAATGTCATTGATCACACTATAAATAATAATTTTAATAAAACTACTTGCCAGTAAGTAGTCATACTCTTAATTTTTCACGACCATGTGCACTACTTAATTGATAGACTTGATGTCATTGCTAGAGGAGCTAAGCTTAAGGTTGTCAATCAAGATGTTGATACTGTCTTAACAATAACAAAGTAAATGTTAATTTCTTACCCTCTCGTGTTATTGCTATTTAGATGATATTATAATCATTTGTATTCAGTGATAATATTATTATCAAAGAATAAAAATGATTAGAATTTCATATATTACTATAATGTTCTTTTTAGTGTCGATATTGAATGATTGATTTGGTGGTGGTGGGTAAATTTTTTTTGTGAGATTAAGCGCCAACAATCACGTAAGTATATGGGTCGATCAAATAATATACATAATAAAATTTCACAAGGAACACACATAATTTCCGATTAAGTTAAAGTTCTAGTCTACTAATTCTTAGCCTAGCTTGAAAGATTAAAGATGAAGTGAATTTTTAAGTTACTAAACCTTAAATTTTGAAAAAAAAAAAAAAAAGAGCCCAAGTAAAGTAGCTAGTAGATTTCTATTAAGTGAAGTGTTCTCCCTTAAGTTAGATCTTAGAAATCTAATTTAACTAAGTGATTACGTTAAAGGTAACAATCATGGAAAACATTCATCCTTAGTCCCTCCTAGTGGTCAAAAAAGGTTTGGAAAATTTCATTTATAGTTCCCTAAATCTGAAAGATTTTCCAGGATTCTAAATATTCATATTCTCATAAATTAGTGTATTTTAACCTAATCGTTCCACCAGTTTACTTTAGTAGTAACAAATCAGAACACATTTTAATAAAAAAAACTTGTCAGGTTTAGAGTAAATGAAAATCACAAGGTTAAAACATCATCACAATGCAATTTGATTTGATCAAATAGCATTGTTAAACACCAAATTTCTAATTACCAATTAAAAAAAAAAACAAATTTATGTGCTACTCTTGCCTTGAAATAACAAAACATAAATTTCATTCATCAAGTAAATTAATTACAAAAGTTAGGAATAAAAAACCAAAAAGAGTACTCCTTTTGAAAGGCTACACCTAATTTCCTTCCTTCTCCTGCCTAGGTGATGCACTGTGATGGTTGGATGCAAGACTCTGGCATCTGGGCACTGCTAGGCTCTCTATACTCCATGCTTCCTTGAACTAAGGATTCAGAGGCCTAAGCATTAGGATGTTGGTGCTTAGGCGCTGGATATGACACCTGGGCATTGGATATGGCGCCACGGCGTTGGATATGACACCTGTGCACTACAAGTTTAGTGCCCCTTTATCAATCCCTCTGTTTCTGGCTAGTTCAATTAAGAGTTTTGGACGTCTGGGCGCTGCTCATATGGCGCCTTGGCTCTACTTCTATATTTAGCTCCAAATTCTATCTTTTCATCTCCCATCAATCTTCTGACTTATGTTATAAAAAATATAACACAAAATCTTCCAAAACTGTAAAAGTAACAAAAAAAAAGACTAAAGCGCAACATTGCAAATCACATTTACTCCAAACATTAACTTCCCACAAACTTACAAGTTAAATTCCCTTAATTAATATCATATCTTGTAATAAACTTTTGAACTATTTATTAGTACTCATTCTTGGAACTCTTTATTCTTCAGAAATATTATTTATAATCTTTTATAAAAGTTTGCAAATTTTTTTAGAGAATTGGCTTTTCAATAATTTATAGTAATTGTGTATTTCAATTATCTTTTTCCCTAGCATAATGAATATTAAAGCACTTAATCTAGTTTGACTAAAATATATTCAATCAATAATAGATTTAAGTCAAATAATTTATCAATCAAATTTCTCATAGCTCTATAATTTCTCTAGATTATAATATCTTAGAATTTCCATCAAGTTTTGTGAATCCAAAAAAAAAAAAAATTAGACACTAACCTTTCTTATCTTTTGAGATCTCGATCTTTAAAAATTTTCTCTTTTTTTTTCTTTTACTTTTTCTTTTTCATTGAGAATTACTATATATAGTTAAGCATGTATTTAATTAATTTTAAATGTATAATCTCTCATAGATCTGCAATTCTTAAATACTTCTTAATATATGTGCAAAAATATTATAATTCATTCAAAAATTAAGTTTCAAGTTGAGTATTTGAGTTAAAAATTACAAAATTAAATATTTTAATAAATTAATTGTATTTACACTCTCTCTCTTTAAAGTGTCTAAATCTTCTTCTGCAAAATGAAAGTTATTGGTAAAACGTGTTAAAATTTTTATTAGATTAACTTAAATCCAATTTTTAAACCTTTTAAGTTATTATATAAATATGATCAAGTTTTAAGGGTATTATATTATGATTTACTACTACAAGGTAGTCTAAAATTTAGGTATTTAAATCACTTTTTGGCAACTAAACATTTATATTTATCCCTCAAAACTTATTTTCTATCCCACACATGCCAAATAAAGAATTTCAACTAATGCAAAAGGAATACCATGTGTAAGCAAGGCATTAACACAATTAGAATCACATAATGATTACCCTAGTGATATAGCATAAACACTATAATGAATCACATAAGTTTT